TTATTCTGCCATCTTGGCTCCACCCCCTTTTTGTCTTTTTTTTTTTTTTTTAATTTTTATTTTTAGGCAATTGGGGTTAAGTGACTTGCCCAGGCTCACACAGTTAGTAAGTGTTAAGTCTGAGGCCGGATTGGAACTCAGGTCCTCCTGACTTCAGGGCCGGTACTCTATCCACTGCCTAATCCTAGCTGCCCCTCATTTAGTCTTTCTCAAAGGGGCAGATTACCATTTGGGGTCTTTTCAAATTAATCATTTTTTCTTTAGGAAGCTTCTGAGCAATTATACCATCTGGGAAATACCTCAGAGAAGTGTTTTCTAGCACTATGGCTTAGGAAGATTTTTCAAAGGTGACCTTTCCTTCACTGGAGAGTCCTCATCACTCCATTTTGTAGCTGTCTGCAGTGGGAAGATAGTTGCTATCTTTTCAAAAGACATCTCCTCATCCCTTTTTATATCAAAATAAGTATCTAGTCTTCATTTAGACAGTCCCAAAGTTCAATATAAACCCCACCAAACCTCTACTACACAGTTCCCTGGTCCCCCGGGTGTCAGGATTTTACAATCTTTGAGGGTTCTTGAGGCAGGTCCCAGTGCTGCCTCTGTGTACGATGCCGTGGTCTTGTTGCTCTGCTGCTAGTCCTTCCTCTCCTTTCAAGGGATTAGGGTGGGGGAGGTGCTTCATTAATCACTATTTAGGAAGTGAAGTTGTTTTTGTTGCAAGCTGATAGTTGTGTTTCCTTCATAGACAATTCGGCTTCTGCAGTGACTCCTTCTGATCTGATTCTAACCCGAGGTACAGCTGATGAGGAAGAAGAGGATGAAGAAGATAGTGATACAGATGATATTGACCATAAAGGTGAGAGAGAAAACAGTTGCACAGAAGATAGCAAACTGGAATGACTTTGTAGAGATAAAGAGCTATTTTGCTGGGAGCTGGTGACCCAGGAGACTTATATTTTGAAATTATTTTGGAGTAAAATCCCCAGTCTCTACAGCATGTCATCTGTAGCCATGGAGATGAAAAATGGTAAAGGGAGTAACAGGAAATTGCTTCCCAGAGGCTTTCTTTTGCCCTTGGATAGTCACAAACATTTGTAGGCTCTTCATTGTCCCGTGATTCTCTTTAGACTTCAAGATATAAAGCCTAATGTCATTTTGAGGCCCTTAGAATTGCTTTGAAGACACATGGAAAGATCCTGAGGGACTCATTTTGGTTCATGGCTGGGTTACTCACAAAGTAGAAGTCTAAGAGAATCAGGATATGGAGAATGATTTAGCTTTAAAACCCTTGAGGGTTGGGGCAGCTAAGTGGAGTAGTGGATAGAGCACTGGTCCTGGAGTCAGGAGGACCTGAGTTCAAATCTGGTCTCAGACCAGACACTTGACACTTACTACTGTGTGACCCTGGGCAAGTCACTCCCAATTGACTTGCTAAAACAAAAACAATAAATCCCTTGAGGGTTTAACTTGGTTAGGAGCAGTTCTGTGAGTTGTGAACCGAATCTGCCTTTCTGCCTAACTCCTGCAGTATTAGAGTGCTGTCCTGACATCCCTAAATTTCAGCAGTACCAACTGGCAAAGCCTCTCAAGTGTTTTGGCCTACATATGGTCATAAAGGTCTCAGAGAGCTTCCTGGTTGAATAAAGGGAATAGTCAGATTTTATTGGAAACGAATGTCTTTCCTGAGGAGTGGAAGGAGAACAATTCCCACCCACCTGGCTAATTGGAAAGTAATTTTCACTACTCTTTTTCCCTTTCCAGTTACAGAAGAAAGCCATGAAGAACCTGCTTTCAAGAATTTTATGCAGGAATCAGTGACATGGTACAGGAACAGAAGCAATGAATAAATAAATAATTGGGAGGAGAGAGACATTAGGAAGCTGTACTTGGGTTACTTGAAGTCCTGAGTTCAGGAGTTCTGCATGAAGGAACTGTTGTTGTCTTCCACTGGTCTTGGTCCTGAAGAGGAGACCTTTTGGCTTGGCAGTCAGTGTTTCTCATTGTTAGAGAGATTCGGTGACCAAGCTGACCCAGAAGAGAGAAGCTGGATTCCTCTTCACCTTTCCTAAGCCCTCTGGATAGAAGCTCATAGTGTTGCAGCCCTGAGGTTTTCTTACCACTTTATCATGTTAAACTCAAGTATCTTTGCTGCTGGCGAGTAGAAATTGAGAGCTCACTCTTGGTGGTCTTCTACATCTCTTTTGGGAGGCTGGTTTTACAGCCAACACTTCTCCCTCTCTTTTCTACACCCTTGGCTGTATGTACCGCTTTCCCTGTGTGACAAATGGTGCTGAGAGTGAGTCTTCACAGGCCAGGAATGTCAGTGGCTTTCTGCTCACTTTGTCAGTGTCAGTGCTAGAACTTGTCTAGCATTATGTTGCTTATAGGACCTCACGCTTGTTGGAGGAAAACAGGAATGCTCTGCTTTGTGGTGGAACTTGGATAAATAATTTATTAACTGTGTGAGCCTACGTGTCATCATTTGAAATTAGTGAGAAATTACTTAGGTTTCAAGTCTCTAAAAACAGACTTCTCCCATCATTCAAAATGAAGAATCGAAGTCACATGTCTAATCTGGTCTTTAGGTGTTGCTTCCTGAAATTTACCACATAAAGATAACGGGTCCTTTTCTTCTCATAGAGACTTAAAGAATTTACAATATAGAGGCCACATAGAAGTTTTGAGTCAAGGTCCACATTCTTTTGGAGAGTAGCATATATCTCATTTCCCCACCCCTTCCCACTCTAAGGTAGGGACTCATCTGTTTAATATATACATATGCAAGGATATATTTGCCCTGTTTCTCAATCCATAGCAACATCCTCGAACACAAGGGATCAAATGTATATACCTTTTCCTTATCCAACTCAAACCACTAGACTTTATCAGCATAGTGTCAGACCAAATGAAATCTTTGAATTCAACACATTATTTAAGAGCTGGTTTCTATGTTGTGTTTTAATGATTACATCTATTAGAAATATATTTGTTAATGTTTTAGACCACTGTACAGAGCACTTTTGACTAGCTTGGAATTCCTGTGCTTTCCAAAAATGCAGTGACAGAAGACTGAGTTTTATGCCTTACTAAGGGGATTCTACAGGGGTTCTAAATGGTGATCTCTATACAGCTAGGTACATTACAAAGTTGCAAATGAGGACAGCATATTTATCTAATGGAAAGAGAATTCAAAGATCCATTTGTGGTGTTATATCATGACAAATCTGTAACATAGTCTCCAGGACTCCAGAGTGAGATACAAAAAGTCCTAAATCACCAGCACAGGAAGCTTTTGTCTTTGTAACATCGTCACAATTTTCTAGTCATTTGGCATAGACTTAGCATAAGCCATGATTTTATAACTTCTGGCCTAAATTAGTGCCTTAAATTTTCTTACGTTTACTTAATATGACATACATTCAATTTTGATCACCACCTTTGAGGAAGGACATTAATAAAAGATCTTCCTGGGATGCTGGTTAAGTGACTGCCAGTTTTTGTCAGGGGGAAATTTAACCCAGGTATTCCTGATTTTGAGGCCAGCTCTCTATCTACCATATCATTAATAAGGTATGAGATTAATAAGGATTAAGACTCAGAAGGGGCTATTACATTTGGCAATTAAGAGCTCTTTGGTAACCTTGGCAAGATTGGTTTCAGTTAGTAACGTCAAAAGATAGATTGGGTAGAAGGGTTAAGAAATGAAGGTGTGATGGGAAGTGAATTACTTGTTCATCAGCCCCTGAAGTATGTTACTTCTGGGGAGAACCTAAACTACAGAGTGACACACGACTGAGCATCAGTGGGGACAAATGTGACCGTGGGAGAGAAGGATTTCCCTAGACTGTCAGGATGTTGCACTGATAACAACTCCAAGTTTGATTCCCTAAATCTGGGGATCATGGAGAGAGCTAATGGATTGCATGCTTTTATGTTTTCTATATTTCTTTATGGGCTCCTCAAGTCCTTTGTGTCTCACGCATTTTCTGTGTGGGAAATAAAAGCTGTCCCATACCTAGAACCTATGTTGCATACTGAGAGAGAGAATAAGCGTTTTTATCAAGTACCTACTACGTGCCTGGCATTGTGCTAATCACTTTACAAGTATCTTATTTCATCTTCACAACCCTACGAGGTAGGTGCTCTTATCCCCACTTTACAGTTAAGGAAACTGAGGCAAACAGAGGTTAAGTGACTTGCCCAGGGTCATAGAGCTAGTAAGCATCTGAAGCTGGATTTGAACTAGGGTCTTTTGTAGGCCCAGCATTTTATTTATTCACTGTGCCACGCAAACTGGGGACCTTGTTAACTTCATTTGGGGAAACCTAGATAGGATTTTACCTGAGTATGTCAGAGGATTTTCCTGCAGTAACTCTTAAGTAGGAATAATAAGCTAAAGGGTAAATATGACTGTTAGTGCATTCTGCTCAGTAGGCCAGGATCAGAGTCAGTCCACGTTAGTTCAGCCTCTTACTTTGTATATCATCTGTGCATGTTATATAATTCCCCACTACAACGTAAGTTCCTTGAGCAGGGTGAGTTTTGTTTTGCCTTTGTATTTCCAACACCCTACACATAGTAGGTACTTAGTAAAGTGATATGGGAGCAGCAGAAATAGTAGAACTTTATCCCTTATAGACCTGAAGGAGAACACTAATTTGCTGGCCATTCCTCAGCCCTGAAAACTTCCCTTTGTTTTTCTCAGTTTGACTCAATTAACCTAACCACATTCTGCCTCAAATACATTCACACTTTAATACAAATACATTCATACATTAAGTATGAAAGAAAAGGAGAAAAGAGAAGATAAAACAAAGTAACGTACATTGCAAAAAATGAAGTTAGTAGGGAAGATGTGCTCAAGAGGCTGGAGGACAAGGAAGAAGGAAGAAGAAAAGCTAAACAATGAAGAGAAAGGAGGGGACTGGGAGGGGTTGGTGCAGTATGTGTCACCACAGAGGTCTAGCTGTAAAAAAATTTCACGAGCAGGACTGCAGATGTTAGTTGGTGGAAGAAGCCATTTATTGGTTTTGGCCATTTGCTTTTAGGCACCAATATTTGATTCACAGTGACTTCCATCTGTTAATGAAGGAAGTTAAATAAAATACATATATACAAAATCCCTCAGTACATACAGGGCCTACATCTAAGCATAGCTATTAAGTAATAGCTTTAATAAATCTGATAAATCACCACAATTAATCTCCATAGCTCGCTCTCAGTGAGATAGTTGTAGCATGTATGTGTATTTCATGGTAGAAAAGAGGAACCAGATTTAGCGGTGAAGTAACTTGATCCTACTGCAAAACTCAGTATTAACGCCAAAACAGAACTCTGGTGTCATGATCATCACCTTGGTTTCTGTTTTAGTTTTTGTTCATACAAAACTGTGCTGACAGTCTCCACAGAGCAGAAAAGACCACTGTTGGCCAAATCCATTGCTGGAGATCCTGGAAACAGCCTCTGGACCCCTCCACATCAATTCACTGTTAGTGGGAAAGAGTTCTTGTATAGTTGTCACCTTATTGGTTTGGAAGAAAAAGCTCCTCCTTTTCCTCTTATATTTTCCTCATCCTCTTTTTGCAACGCTGGTTAAAGACAGGGGAGGATCCCATGAGGCTGTCAGGGGAGTGGGATCCATAGCTGCTCTCTGAGCCATTGGGACTCTGGGGCATCCCAGCCTCGCTGATGCCTGACATGGGCTCTTCAAAGACGTCACTGCCCAGCACGCCATGTCCAGAGACAGTGCCTTCTTCACTCTCCTGTGACTCTATTTTTACTGGGGCCAAATTCCAAAGAGGGGAAGCATTTACCTCAGCACCTAGAAACAGATTCCAACAGTCCGGCAGTCAAACACCAACAAAAAGCCAAATGCACACAGGTTAGTGAAGATCATGGACTGAGAAGGAATCTGAGAGCAGATACAAATGAAAACTATAAAAGAAATTAATAAATACAATATCGAGTCAGACAAATGGTCTGACAAATGCAGCCTAGGGCTGTCTATGACAAGGAAGCTATCTCTAGGAAAAATCATGGTAGTTGCCCTCCATTCTGTCACTTTCAGAGGGAGGCTATTAAGTCCTAGTATTGGTTAATTTGCTTAGCTGGGCTAAAGAAAATGATGAAGACCTAAATAGTATTTAAATGAATCCTAAACATATCCCCACTTTCTCATAACTCTTTAAGGGGAGATAAAAAGGATGGGAATGTCCCTGCCCAGTTCAGGGGCTCATGGAGATACCTCCTCTGGTTTCCTCCTTTACAAGGCACCTGGTCTTCTAGCCTTTCATTCTGGCTTCCTCACACTGTTCCAGGTAGAAAGAAGTCAAGATTATCTCTCTCCTCATTTGGCCAGGCCTGACCCAGGGAGGGGAGTCTTATGTCTATGAATGGCAGACTGCTCTGTGAGTCTTCAGCAATTCCTTTCAGACTCTCTTCTCTATTTAGTCATGATCTCCAATTATTTTTCCTATTTGTTAAGCTCTTTGCCTGATACTTTAAAAACTTTTTTTAAAGTCAGTTCTGACTTCTCACCAGGTCCACCACTACTACCACCAAAACCTGAAGGATCTATAATGTCATTGATATGGGTACTATTTCTGCAAATCCTGCCTCCAATCCAGTTACAATTCAGTAGATGATCTTTGAAAGTTGGTATGGCAAAAAAATTTCAACACCCTGCAGCCCTCCAGTGATGATGCTCTTTGAACATAGCTAGGCTGGTCCCTATATAACAATATAGAGCCCAATACTGGATGGATCTGTACTTTCCAGATTGGGAGGACCTGCCAAATTTATGTCCTACCAGCACAGCCATGAAGAGGCCGAGATCACCTTCACGCCACTATAAGAGATCAGAATAAGACTTCAGAGGGAGGCTATTAGGTCCTAGTATTAGTTAATTTGCTTAGCTGGGCTAAAGAAAATGATGAAGACCTAAATAGTATTTAATATTTGCAAAATCAATTTATGTGGCTGAATTAGAATGTGCATTTGTATGCTTCCCAATCTTTGAGAAGAGAAGAAAATTTGACTCAGCAGCTTTCTTGTAATCATGCCATAACTGAAAGCTACTTTGGAGAATGCTTCCTCTAGCCCAGGAGTGGGAAACCTATGGCCTTGAGGCCATATGTGGCCCTCTAGGTCCTCAAGTGCAGCCCTTTGACTGAATCCAAACTTCACAGAACAAATCCCCTTTACAAATCCCTACCCCTGCTCTAGCCTAATCTATTTTTCCAATAAAAACAGGAAAAGGAGAGAGAAGATAACTTCAGAATCCAAGCATCCAACTGAGATGTCTTGTGACCTGGCATTTTAAAATTCTGGGCTTTTCATTCTTACTTTCCTTTCCCCTCCCTTCTTTTTCATTCCTTTACCTCCAGCTCACCTATCATTTCCTCAAGAGCTTGATTTCAAATGGAAGGAAAAAGAAAAAGCAGTAAGGGCAGCTGGATGAATGGGTGAGTGTCAGAGAGTAAGAGCATTTTTCCTACCTGAAGCCTGTGGGGAAGCTTCAACCTCTAGGTTAGAGGAGAACCGTTCATTTTGCGCTCCAAGCACTCCTACAGGTAGAGATTGGTCACCAGATGCCAGGTCTCCTTCCAACTCCTCACTGACAGGGAAGGTGATATCACTGACAAGCTCCTCTTTGATTTTCACAGGTTTGGTATCTTCTGTAGCCTTCTCAGGATTTACAATCTTCTCATACTCCTCAGAAAGCTGCTTGCTAACCTGTCAGCAGGCAAGACACAAAGTTTTCCAAGAGAATGGTGAAGGCAAGTTGATCTTCATCTTTCTTCCCCTGGGGAAAAAAAAGGGGGTAAAGAGGTTGGAGAGGGAAGAGTATGAATGACAGAGAAGTTCAAAGATGAAGGAGTTTTGTTTAGCAAATGAAAGAGAGGAAGGCATGACAGATGTAAAAAAGCTTGTTTATGATGCAGATAGGGTATGTGTATATGAGAAAATGTGAAGAAAGATACTGATGGAAAATAGGAGGGACAGTAAAAAAGGTTCTATTTTTAGGCATAATTGCATATGGTATGCAGACCTAAGCTAATTAAGGAAGCCTTTCTTCTTATGTGTTAGAAATACTTTATCCCATCTATCCTTGGGGAAACTGAAGCAACGGTCAAGAGGTTTGTGGAAGGCCACAAGAGAAGACCAAATTAAACAGGAATTTCTGGTCTAGAGTTCAGTGTTCTGAATCTATTGACCATCTCTCTGTCCTTACCTCTTTTGAGCACATGTTAAGTCCTTGTCATCTACAGGGAATATTACTGATGCGCCCCTACTCAAAACAGGAAATGAGGTTTGGGCAACATAGTGGCTTAGGAAAATAAAAGACAAGATTACCAAAGATGAAGATTCTTCCCTTCCCCAACTTTCCGTCTCCACTCCAGTTCGAGATATGAGGGAACCTGAGAACCCCCAATTCAGTCTCCTTTAATTGTTTACTTCTTCACATGGTGCCCTCACCTGTAACATATAACTGTGATAGTCCTTGATACGGTGCTGCCAGAACTTCTGCAGCGACAGCACACTGCCAATGCCCACTTCATGGAATACCTGCTCCATAACATCAGGAAATGGAGTCTGTCCCAACTGGGCCTCCCTGTCCACAGCAAAGCGCAGCAGCTTGGTAAATTTAAGGCAATACTCATGGGCCACGTCGGTGAGAGTCTCTAGAACACTTTCATTAGCACATTCAAAGCCCGCATGAGCCAGGATTGTGGCTACTGACTGGTAAAGCAGCTGACGACAGGAGTTCCAACTCAGTTCAGTCACAGGTTCCCCCTTTCCTCTGAAAGTACAGACAGAGCAATGTTATGAGGGTTTATACTGTGGGAGAAACCTGTCCCTGCCTTCCTAGGAGTTTTCCAATTTCAAGAAAACCAATTTCCATTGTTGTAGGGAAATTTGGGTCAGGTTAGCTCTCCTAGTTTCTTTCTCATACTGCCTGAGCATATCCCAGGCACTCCATGATCACATCTTGGAACTCTCCAACTTTAGTTCTCTTTTAGCTAACTTCAATCCCCATGTTTCAATGCACTAGTCTATGGATTCAGTAATCATCTTTAGATATTACTATCTAATATATATTCAGTTACCTCTTGTGAACTTTGAATACAATAATAGCATAATTCCACCTAGTACTGCCAACAGCTTATATAGTAACTATAAACAAAAATAACTTTATATGGAGCAGCTCCTTAAGCTTGTGATTAGTACAAAACAGTCATATGTGGATTAATATTCTCAAATGGGGAAATATTTTCTACTTTACCATGTGCTTCTCTGAAATAGTCAGGTTGGTCCACCAGCAAAGTACTAAGGTTAACACAGATATAGCAAATTCCCTATTAGACAAACAGTCAAAAGATATGAACCTGCAGTTTTGAAAGAAAGAAATATCAGCTATCAACAGCCACATGAAATAATGTTCCAAATCACTAATAAGTAAAGAAAAGCAAATCCCATTATGAAGCTCTTGCCAATGGGGTGGGGAAAAGAGAGAAAGAAAACACAGATTTTGGTTAATTAAAAAGATAAAACCTTTGGATATATTGGAAAAATTGAATATTTATCAAAGACATGCTTAACACCCAATATGATGTATGGCTTCATGATGAAGAATTAAAGAAAGTATGTTTAAAAAAACAAAAACAACCCAAACCTGAAGGCTATGACAAAAATCCTGCTTTTCTAATCTCACTGATGACATCTTCATGCTTGTGAGGTAAGGCTGTATTGTTAAAGGGTTCCTCTAGACAGAAGTGTTTGAACTTCTAAACCTAATTTTTTGAAAGACTTGTTAACTCACATATTAAATTTACCACTCCCCTCTCCTCATGGAACACAGACAGGGAGTAAAATAATATGTTCTCTCTACTGCTCAGTTGATATGAGTCACTCAATACTCAGACTAGCAAAGTAACAGCTTGCCTGTTCTCAGGCAATGACGGCATTTCACATAGCTAACTAAGAGCCACTAAAGTACTTAAAATAGATTGATCACCTCATTTTGCATATTCTCAGATATTCCATGTTAGAGCCCTGCCTTACCGGTAAAAGTCACTCTCTGGGTCACTATGCCTGATCTGGAATGGCATTTTGCCTGTCTTGTTATCCAAAGAAAGCAGGTCATCAGGGAGGGGAGGTGAAGCGGGACGAGATGGAAGTGGTTCACTCTCTTCAGTTTTGATGCCCTCTGCCTGCTGCTGCATTTGAGCCTGGGCTGTAGCAATGAGGCTTCGTAGGCGCCGGTTGTGCTGGATAAGTTGGATTGTGTGGGTGGTGAGGCTGCAAGGCTCAGATGGGATGTCCAGCATGGTGGTTGGCCGTGGCTTATTGGCAGAGGGTTGGTGCAAGAGTGGATCTTGGACTTCCACCAGACGAAACTCCCGTGGGAGCAAATCAAAGGAGCTTCTGTTAGCTTGGCTGGATGATATTGGGATTTCTCCCCAGTATCTTAGCATTTTTGAGAATGAGTTGTTAAAGTTCAGTCTGACAAAAACAATGTTTCCTAATTCACAAGATAGGCTTCCAAAATAAAAAGCAGATTGGTCAAATCACCTCCTTATATCATCCTTGTCTGAGTAAGCAAAGTCAGGCCATCCAGGACTACTTAGAAAAATGTCTGCACCAGCAGTACTGTAGAAGGATCAGTATAGCTCTCATTGAAGAAACATGTGATTTCTGATCTGTAAAAAAAAAAAATCAGAAGTTTATCATCACAATCAAGGAAACTGATAACCTCTATGTGGCAGCCATCAATGCTAATTCAACTTTAGCCTTCATTAAGAAGTCAAGAAAACCTGGGGGGCAGCTAGGTGGCGCAGTGGATTGAGCACTGGCCCCGAAGTCAGGAGGACCTGAGTTCAAATCCGGTCTCAGACCAGACACTTGACACTTACTAGCTGTGTGACCCTGGGCAAGTCACTTAACCTCAATTGCCTAAAAACAAAACAAAACAAAAAAAAGTCAAGAAAACCTGGGTTCACATCCTGTCTCTGATACTTACTGGTCAAGGATAAATTGCTTTCCCTCCGAGTCTGTTTCCTCTTCTGTGAAATGGGTATAATAATTGTCCCTGTAGTACCTAATAGGGTTTGTTGTGAGGCTCAAATGAGATTCTATATGTAAACATCTTTGAAAACTTTAAAGAAGTCAGTTATGATGACAATGCTATGATGAAACACACAAGTATCCATAAGTAGAGATTGGCAAAACTAAGAACAATAGGTAGACAATGCAAGAGGCAGATGTAGGCTTGATGTAAGGAAAGACTTCCTTAAAAATCAGTTATCCTAAAATGGAATGGGATGCCTCAGAAAGGTAATGAATACCTTCCTACTCCCCTCCCAGGACAAGTTAATCACCAGAAATCTCAACATGCTGTGTTTAACTCAGCCTTGGATACTCAACACCTCCCTACCTCCCTCAGCCTTTTCTCCCCTTTACTAGAGGGCTGGAAGGTGGAGCCCTAAACTCCACCCAAAGCTTTCCTTTATAGGGGTAGAACCTGGACTTGGCAGCTCAATCCACTTTCCACCTCTAACTGTTTGAACAGGAATGAGGAGAAAGGAGTTCATCAAAAAAAGATTTAGGAGATTTAGTGGACTGCAAGTTCTACAAGAGTCAACAGTGTGATATGGCATCTAATAAACTGAATGTGATCCTAGGCTGAATTAAGAGAGGTACAGTTTTCCTGAGTAGAGACGTAATAGCCTGGCTATACTCAGGCCTAGTCAGAGAATAACTCAAGTATTATATCCAGTCCTGGATACATATTGCTATAGAAACAGACTGAAATCCATCTACGCTTGCCCATTCTATCAGACTCCTTTGCACATCTTTCCATAAGTTTGCAACAGGGTTTTCATTTACTATGTTGGGTGCCTTCCCTTATTTCTTGGGACATCTGAAAGAATGCCAGTGCAGCAAATGGGTCTTCCATTGGTTAACTCTTGCTCCTGCCACATGACCAGCTCATCTTCTTTCTTGATTACACATTTCCCTGAAGACATGCCTTGGCCATGGCAAACCAGGAAATAAAAGAATTGATACTTATTTAACAATTTTTTTTTTTAGGCAATTGGGGTTAAGTGACTTGCCCAGGGTCACACAGCTAGTAAGTGTCAAGTGTTTGGTCTGAGGCCGGATTTGACCTCAGGTCCTCCTGACTTCAGGGCGTGCTCTGCGCTCTATTCACTGCGCCACCTAGCTGCCCCTTTATTTAACAATTTTAAAGTTTGCAAAGTACTTTACTGGTGCTATCTCATTAACGCCTCAAAGGAATCCTGTGAGATGGATACAACAGTTATTATTATCTATATATTAGATAAATTAGATCAGGTAAAATAGATTAGATCAGGTAAGATAACTGAGACCCAGAGAGCTTAAGGGAGTTGTCCATACTCACAAAGCTACTGAGAATCAGTGGTGGGATTTGAGCCCAGGTTTTTCTAACTCCAGATCCATAACTCTAACTTACCATGCCATGTTGTAAGTAATCTACTAGAGATTCTATTATATGAGGAATTACTGAAAGAACTGGGCATATTTAACCTGGAAAAAGAAAAACTGAGGAGGGATTTGACTGCTGTCTTTTAAGTGCTATCACGCAAAAGAAGCATTTGTCTTTTTCTTTTCCAAAGAGGAAAATTTTGTCTTAAAATACAAAAAAACTTCTGAGTAACTAGAGGTATCCCAAAGCTGAATAGACTTTCTCCTTAGGAAACTTTGGGCTCCCCCTCAGGTGATCTTTGGGTAAAGACCAGATGATGATTTGTAAGGAATGTAGTTGAGGGAATTCCTATTCATATAGAAGTTGAACTAGATGGCTTCTGAGGTCCCTTACAACTCTGTGCCTTTGTGAGGGGAAGGAGCACTCTGGCTCAGGAATCAGCTTGAAGGGTCCTTGGCAAAAGGCAGCAGGGACAGAGCATGGTGCGGTAAAAAAACAACTGGACATTGGAAAGCTGAAGACAGAGGAGGGTTCAGTACCAGCTGGGGCATTATTATCTATGTGATCCTAAGCAAGTCACTTGCCTTCACAGGCCTCAGTCTCCTCATCCGTAACACTCAGGGGGCTGGACTGACGTGAGACAGCGCAGTGCAGCGGAAAGGGTGCTGGAGTCGGAGGTCCTGGGTTTAAAACGTGACTGTCACTCACTTCTTATGACCCCTGAACCTCTCTGGGCCTCAGTTTCCTTCTCTGTAAAACCAGAGGTTGACCTCAGATGACCTCGGAGATCCCTCCCAGCTCTAAAGTCAAAGCTCTAAAGATCTTAGGCGCTAAAAGACCCGCCCCTGGGCTGAAGGGGCTGGGGGGGGAGCGGTGGGGAGGGTATTTACCGGCTTCCAGCGGGATGGCTGGGAGGGGGCGACGTCTGAGCCCGTCCTCGGCAGGGCCCTGAAGCCCCCGGAGACGCGTGCTGGGCGAAGCGTAGGCAGCGAGCGTGAGCAAAGCCCACCGAACTTGGAAATAGACGGAAGTTCCTCTCTTCGGGTCGGAGACGGCCGCCGGAAGTCGTCACTAAGTAGTGCACTTGTAAAGACGTCCTCCCTTTCCAAGACGCTTCCTTTATTCGATAGTGTTAGAGTTTTAATTCGGTCCAGTGTCGGATGCAGGAGTCGGGGGAGGACACTGAAGTCGGCAAGCTCCGGCACCTCCCCTCCCCAGGGAGGGCTGGAAGCTGCAGCGGGGCACTTGGAGCTCTCCGAGTCCGGTTTCCGGCGGACGCTATTAGACATCGGACTCCTCGAAGATGGCGGAGCTCTCCTCAGAGGCAGAGCTGGGGTCCAGCTCCGAGCCGCCAGACAGCGACTTCAAAAAGCCGGTCCTGCCATTGCCCTCGATGCCGCGGGAGCATACGCAGGGCCCCGCTCCCCGGGAGCGAGAGGAGCGGGAAGAGGAGGAGAAGGAGCCGCCGCTGGCCGGCGGTCCTGGCGAGCAGGGAGTCCAGCCGGCCCGGCGGCGAGACGTCCGGGAGGAGCCCGGCCCCGGGCCCCCCGCAGAGGAGAAGCCGCGGCCGTCCGGAGCAGCGGCGGGCGCTCCTCCAGCCAGGAGCCCGGCTCCGGCTCCTCCGTATCAGGAGCCACCGTGGGGGGGACCCCCCGACGCTCCCTACAGCCTGGAGACGCTGAAGGGCGGGACCGTCTTGGGCAGCCGCAGTCTGGAGGGCCGGAGCCGCTGCGTGTTCGGGCGCCTGCCCAGCTGCGACGTGGTGCTGGAGCACCCCTCGGTGTCCCGCTTCCACGCTGTGCTGCAGCACCGGGCGCGGGGCCCCGCGGGGGACGAGGACCCCCGCGGACCCGGCTTCTACCTATACGACCTGGGGAGCACCCACGGCACCTTCCTGAACAAAACTCGCGTCCCGCCCCGCACCTACTGCCGCGTCCACGTGGGCCACGTCCTGCGCTTTGGAGGCAGCACCCGGCTCTTTATCCTGCAGGTAAAGGAGCCCCGCCCCCGGCTCCCCAGGTTGTGTATTAGTGTATGTTTGTCAGCCTTTCCCACAGTTGAGGGTTATGCCTTCTGGCTCCAAGATAGACTTCTTTATGGTTTCTGCTCCCACATCCTAAAGGGATTGTTTTACTTGATCAACAGGGACCAGAAGATGATAAGGAGGCAGAATCTGAGCTAACCGTAACTCAGTTGAAGGCTTTGCGAAAGCAGCAGCAGATGAAATTAGAGAAGAAGATGTTGGGTGAAGACTCAGATGAGGAAGAGGAGACAGATGCCACAGAAGAGAAGAGAAATACTAGTAGTCAGGATGTTGAGATGGGATGTACTTGGGGAATGGGTAAGAACTGAAAGCTACTAAGAAAGCAAGTCAGAATTTTTTTTTTAGAATTATTAATTGTATCTTATACTTGTCTTGTGTTTGGAAAATGACATAATATCCATTTGGTCCTCATAACAGCCCTGTGAAGTATAGAGGAGTGACTATTGTTATTCCTACTTTTAAAACAAGAAAACTGAGCTCCAGAGTTGAAATTTCTTGCCTGAGGTCACAGAGCTGTCAACAGTTCCAGGACTGTAAGAGTTTTGACTCCGTTATAACCCTGGTATGAATAAAACTTTTCTTGAGAAGTCACATAGGATATTGATTGAACACATTCTCCTAGCAAGTCACTTAATCTCTCTGGGCCTCAGTTTCCTCATTTATAAAATGAGAGTATTGGACTAAGTTATCTTAAAAACTCTTCCCTAGGATATAGGCAAAGCACTTAATGCAGTTATTTAATTCTGGTCCAAATGATCACCTTCTTTTCTTAGGAGAATGCCCTTATTTGTAATACAATAAAGCGTGGGAAAATTGTCAAATGAAAGATTTTGTGACTATGAAGTAAATAGCACACTATGTAAAAAGTCTCATGTGTTCTCTGCCTTGGTCCTAGTCGTTGTCAATTTAAGGACATAGAGAAGCAGTATGCTGTAGTGGAAAGAGCACTCAAGTTGGAAGTTAGAACACTTGGATTCAAAGCTTGGCTCTGCCACTTCTCTGATGCTCAGCATCCTCCTCTGCAGTATGAGAGGGCTCTCTTTCAGCTTAGATTCTATGACTTTAGGGATCCTCTACCAAAAAATTTTTTTTGTTTGTCGTGATTGAATATGTGCATAAAGGGACCCATTTAAAATACTAAAATTTTCCTTTGCATTTGCATGTTTATATGGAGGTGTATACATTCAGATTTTGGAGAGGAAGACAGCATATCTTATGGAATCATAGAGCTGGAAGAGACGATTGAAGATCATTTAGGCCAAACCCTTCATCTTGCAGATGAGGAGTCTGAGGCCTAGAGAAGTTATTTAATCCTCTCCATCTCTGCATAGCATCACCAAGGAACTACTCAAAACCTACGGTGTCATGACACTCTGCTAGGCACTAGGGGTATAAAGTATGTGTATGCATAAAATGATAAATAGCGATGTAAATTGTCCTATAAATGCCAAATTAATAATAGAGACAATGTGCTGCAGGACTTGAGGGCTTGAACATTTGGGGAATGCGTCAAAGGAGCTGGGCTTGAAAGTCAAAGTAGAACTTAAAACAAGAGAGAATGTGAGGGCATTCCAAGCAGGGGAACTTTGACAGAACACTGATAGTTTGTTCTGGAGTCTACTCCAGTAAACTCTTCTTTTAGGGAAGTTGTAGAGATAGGCCTGAGATTGGTAAGTTAAAGAATTTAGACTTTTTCCTGAAAGCACATTGGTGAGTGGGTGGTTTTTAAATTTTTTTTTTTTTGTTTTTCCCATGAGTGTGAGTTTCTTCACAGCACTTAGCTACTATACCTAAGACTGCACTTCTCTGGCCTGTCCCTTGTCCCATTTTCTTCTTGGTTTTGTTAAGATATTGATAAATAGAACACATTTGGGATTTGTGGTGAGAAGTATCATGTATTACCTCAGTTTTGTATAGCCTGACTCTCTTCTTTTTTGAGATAAGGTAGTGAATACTATTTTGGTAAGGTTTTCCTTTTTTTCCCTCCCTGCTTAAATAATATGTGTGACATTCTCTTTGATTTCTTCTACCCCAACCCTCTTTCTGCAGGAGAAGATGCCATTGAAGATGAAGTTGAAGAGAACCCTATTGTTATAGAGTTTCAGCAGGAACGTGAGGCATTTTATATAAAGGATCCCAAAAAGGCCCTGCAGGGGTTTTTTGAAAGAGAAGGTCTGTGATTAGCCTTTGATGATGGAAGTTATATATGTCCTATACCATAAATTCCAGTTTAATGCCATTCTTTAAAATGCCATTAAATCTACTTTCCCTGTATATGCTGTATAACTGCTCAGATTCTGCTTAATAGTTCAGCCTTTACCTGTTTCTTCAATTAAAGTATGCTCCTTCTGGGTTTGCCAATAATTAATTTCAGCAAACTAAATTTAAGTACCTACTGTTTGCCTAGCATTTTGCTAAGTACTGGGAATGTACAAAGTTTAGATAAGATGAGAACCCTGCCCTCAAAAGTCTTGCAGTCAAAAAGGGTGGTGTGGTGAATAAATTTTTTGCTATTCCAAAAGATTTACATCAATGGCCCATCCATTCAACTTCTCATGCCTTAGCAGACCATCTTCACTAATTTCTATGACAAAACCAGTTTCATTTTGTGGTGCTGCTAGCATGAGACTTTTCAGAGCTTAGCTAGGCTCATTATTGGATGACAGCCATGTAGCTGTTTCCAAGCCCATGCTCCAAGCCACCTGCTGGAGCTTACATTCCTTTGGCATAGCTTTTGAAAACTCAGTCACCTCCACAACATTATGAGGCAAAACAATAAGAATTTAGTGGAGGAGTAAGAGCCTTGACATTCTTCTTAACCTGAAACAAAGGATATATTTCACTTGACTCAGATCCTTAGCAGAAAACTTTGGTGTTGGGAAAATTGAATCAAGTTCTTATAAGTTTTCTGTTCCTAAGTCATAATATTCTGTAATTCCTATCATACATGGTAATTTCATATGGTTAAAAAAATATATTTTACATAGGATTGTTTAACTCTGATTTTCTTTCCCTAGTATATCAAGTTCAACTAATAACTGAATTTAATTTAGGAAGTTACTTTAAATTATTATTACAAATCTCTTTTTTACCTCTGTAGGGGAAGAATTAGAATATGAATATGATGAACAGGGACACAGCACTTGGCTTTGCAGAGTTAGGTATGTGTTTTTCCCATTCTCCCTTTACAGGTCAATTAATTTTAAGCTTCATTTATAGTTCTAAATAAGAGTTAAGATTACTAGATTTATAAAAAAAAGTTTTGAGTTTGGGTTTTGGTATTTCATAGGTATTTATTGTTTTTATCTCTGTGTGTATAGGGAAATGGTGTTACTTTTCTCTTTGGGGAATTTGAAGCATTATAGTGGAGAGTAGGACAAAGCAATTTAAGAACTCATTGCCCCCTTTTTTGATTGATCTTCTACATAGCCACCAAATTGATGTTCTTAAACTATAGATCTGACCATGTAACTCCCCTCCTCAAATATCTTTAGTGACTTCCTGTTACCTCTAAGATAAAATTCAAAATTATCAACCTGTTTCCTACTTACCTTTTTATCTTTTCTTTGTATTATTTCCCTTTACAAATTCTCCTTTCCTATCGAACTGTTAGGCTAGCTGTTTCCCATATTTGACCTTTGATCTCTCACTTCTGTGCTGTTACACTGATGGTCCCTATGTTTGGATTGTATTCTCTCTTCACCTCCCATTCATCAAATTCCTAACTTCCTTTGAAGAACTCAGCAGCTACTTGATATAGGAATCCTTTCGTGATCTTCCCATTATTAGTATGCTTTCCCTCTTGAAATCCTTTTTTACAATTTTGTACATATTTTGATTTTGTTCAGTTAACTTTTCTTTTGCCTCTACAATTCTGTTAGTCTCTGTTACAGGGATTGTATGATATAGAGTGTCTAACTACATAATTCCTA